ATATATATATATATATATATATATACATATATATATATATATATATATTATCTATCTATCTATATATACATATATATACATAAATATATTCCATCGCATGTCTCCATCGGAGGCCCCCATTGCAGATGTGTATTGCTGCCAATAGCTAATCAAAGTCGGACAAAGCATATAGCATGACAATTCCGAATATATCACACTTCCCAATCGATTCGTGTATCTATGTCTATTTACAGGCATCTCTTGCGAGGCTATCTCATCGATTTCCGTTCCAGTTGCAAGTTTTGGTTCAATTATTATGTGCGGATCACTACCGCGATGGTGTTTTTCTGATCGTGTGGTGTAGGGTAACTGTAAGTATTTCAACTAGCATTCATGTCGACCATAGTGATCTTTCTGTTTATGGATGGTGGTGTGTAGCTACGAATCATAAGGTACGTAGGTTCATAGGGAACTTACCCATGGTTGCTGATATTTGAGTTCTAAGTCAAACTATAAACTCGAAAAGGACGAGATTTGCTTAGAGCGTTGGTGTTTTAGAAGGACATTTAGTCCTTTACAATAGCTTGTGTATTTTTGGGTTTTAGATATTTCCTTGCACATGGATAGGGAGAGCTGAAATCAGGATATGGCAGTAATGGACAAATAGCGGTATGGTACCGAACTGCTGACTTAAGTGCAATTTTATTTGAAAACTGATATATGATTGGATGTTTCACTCGGGTGGCGGCTACATTTCTCGAAATTTGAGTAATTTTTGGATGACGTATACATATTTTTTTATATACATATATAAAGGCGTACACAACTACACATCTCAGTTAATGATATCAGTAAGTATTCATCAATCCTTAATTGATATTGTCATAGACGACTACGAGTTCGACAGTGTTTTCAATCTATACAACTTGCACTAATCTCTAAGTTAGGTATTTGCAAGGATTTCCAATCAAGAGCATCTCAAGTATTTACAAGCTATCATTCAATACGCAAAAATTTATGCCAGTACTCTCGGAAGTTTGGAAATAATACTACAAGATTTGCATAGTAAAGTCACAATCTCGTTTGCGAGCACGGTACTACGTTAATTGTTGAAATCGTTTTGAATTCCCGTATCACTTCGCGTGTCGACTATCGCCACTCTTTAGCCTTAACTATATATTAACAAAATTATCAAGATGATTCATTCTTTTCTATTTCGTTCAGTGGCTCGTTGTTTTCTCTAACCGACGTGGCGTCTATCCGCAAGGCGGCCATCGCATTGCTTGCAATTCGAATGGACTCTGCCGTCATGGGATCCATGCCCAACTTCTCGCGGAAGAAGTTGCACATCTCTAAAAGACCCTCTTCACTGGCTACATCGTTAGGCTGAAGATATAGTCGATCAAGAAAAACTTTAGTGGAATTCAGAGAGTGATATGCGAGACTTCGACTCACAAAAACGACGTATAATTATTTACTTATTGTAGTGTATAAGAACCCGGGCATCCAAGACAAAGACTAATTTGTACACTTACCGTAAGCCCTTCGTCATTTTTTATCGCCAAATCCGCCCCTGCGTCAACAAGTATCTGTGCGATGATGACACTTGATGTTGGGAAGGGTAGGTACGGCAAGTAATGAGCGAAACTCCTGGTAAGATTAGGACTTGTATCTATCCATCCTGCGACCACGGAATATATAAAGAGCTCACACTGATGCCATGTATACTTTCAAAAATTTAACAATCGAAGATGAGATATATACAAACTATGACAAAAAATCAGTGACAAATAACCTACTCTTCCGTGCTGTGAAGAGGACTGTCGCCGTCGTTGTCTGTAACATTGGCGTCACCTCCTTTTGAAATTAAATATTCTAAGAGTTCTTTGTGACCCCATCCTGCCGCCGCGTGCCTACATGAACAGAATGATTGATAACAAGTAGTAAAGTGTTAATAGTGTTCGAATGTATTGTTAGTAAATCTTACCTATATTGAAAGTGCTTAATTTCGCTATGCGATGTATTTGTTAGCATCGCCTCTCTTGGTGAGTACACCTTTCGATACACCTCTTGGTGTGTGTACACATTTCAGCTGGGGTAAGGACGGCGCTCTATAATCTCATAATTCTTTATGTACGATTCGCTATAGACAATAGACTGCAGTTGCTCATCCATGTGGTACTACACATGATAAATGGGATTTGTATTGGGCTGCTTCGCACAACTGCAAAGTTGCTTAAAACGGTAAGGAAGACCTCAATATTCAACAACGAGACAATGCCGTATGTGAGGTGTATTTTACGACATACATGGGCGTGTATCCGTTACCGTCCTTGCTATTCGGACTGAGGTCGGAAGATGCATCCTCAATGAGCTCTTTGACTCTACCTATGTTGTTATCGCTAGCAGCAACCCATAGGTTCGAATCGCTGCTACGACACGTACTGTCTACTAGTAGTACACCCGGCATTGACGACCACTTACTCGATACGTATGCAGAGTATGACTCAATAGGCTTCCTTTTTATCAAAGTCCGACGTAAAAGCATGCAAATATATACTAAATATATAAAAATACGTTCTCATGGAAATGTCTGTCTTTTTACAATAGAGGTGGAAGTACATAAAGTTCGCTTAAAAAACCCCCGGGGAGGGGAGATGTTTTTTTCGAAAAATGGCAGTCAGAAAACCCCTGTATAAACCAAAAATGATATTTATTTAAATTAGCCATAGTATTCCGGACAAAATTCCATAAATACACAGCCTTCACATAGCCTCCTGAATTGTACACCTGTAGATATCCATCCTCCAGACTCAATCATAGCCTTCTAAATAAACAGCTCTGGTTCCTTTCATTTTCAGTCATTGTGCGAATGAAGATGTTGGTCGTAGAGATAATTTGGAGAAACCACACTTTCTATAGTGAAGCGCCCTCTACAGTATCTATCCTAATGTGTCACCATGAATACTGAGCTGCCTGCAAATCCAGGGTGTAAACACAACGACGCCAGATGATGAAGAATACGAGCTAGATGGTTAAGTTTGGTGTGTTTGTACAAACACGAAGAAACTGCCAGCTCATTCGCTAGGCAGCCGCTGAAAGTTCTGACCAACGATCTCTCTCATCGAAGAATTATGGAGAATGCTATTGTAGCCCAAACATGGATGCTCTGAGCCACCTTGCTGACTGGCTTCCCCAGTTTATGAGCCATGGCATTCTGCTTGCTCATGAAGATACTCCAAGGCTCACAGCTGGCGATCGAATTTCGCAAGATATAACCTCAGACGCACATACAACACTCAAAATACTGTAAAATAAATGGCATTGACAGATATATGCCGACGAAGTGTGATGATTTATTACCGCTTACAAATTACGGCAGAGTACGGATGTGAAAATATATATATTTATCACCATGGTAAACACAAAAGTACAATTTCACATTAAGACATTTTTTTGCGCGATGTTGTGTTTTTAATTTCCGTAAGCAGAGGTTAACGCCTCCATGTGCGATTTGTGGTATATGTCTATCCGATTATGTGTTTAGAAAAATTTATAAATATCCGCTTAACTGCATGTACACAACAGGACAAAACTTGAAACATAAATACGTATCGTGTTCTGAAGGCCATACAATCTACTAAGTACTATGTGGTGTATGATTACTGTGTACTTAATGATACATAGTAACCGTTTATAATTACAACTATGTATTGTATGCACATGCACAGTAACATTGCAGCAGCTAACGTGTTTCTTAAAAACAATATACTACTCATACGCAGAATATTGTGTCAAAATGTCTGTGTACATGATTCCAATTCGGTACGAATAAACTATTAAATCAGCTACACATGCGAAAGTTGAAAAGCACATTTGGATCTGCCGAGAACGGTGCTGATTATCATCAACACAAGTCCGTGCACGCGTGAACCAAATTCGCTCTGAATTTTGGTACGTACAAGAAATCTGCGTATGTAGGAAGACGAATGAGATTTTCACATTATTGACAACGTATGTGTAGAGTCTGTACTATTCCACGTACAGCTCACACACAATGTAACAAATAGTAACCAACATACATAGATATACTGCTGTATAACATCTAGCATGAATATATATATATATATATATATATATATATATATATATATAGTATACATTCATACATAAATACATGCATACATATATATATATATATATATATACGTATATACATGCGTACATATATGCATACAAACATAATTACATACATACATACATATATACATACATACTTATATACATACATACGTATACACACGTATATAAATATATGTATATATATATGTATATATATATATATATTTATATATATATATATATATATATATATATATATATATACAAATATAATATATATATATATGTATGTATGTACATATATATATGTATGTATATATATATATATATGTGTGTGTGTGTGTGTGTGTGTACGTGTACGTGTATGTATGTAGATGTAAGTGTTTTTATATGTGTGTCTGTGTGTCTGTGGGTGTGTGGGTGTGTGTGTGTGTGTTAACATTTCACGCAGAGCCACACAATATTGATTAGCCATTTAGTACACGATGAAAGTTGTTTAATACCTGGAAATACCTGGTCGCAACCTCAGTGCATTATTCTGAGCTCGGACCGCGAAATTCTTATTGGAATCGGTCTTTGCCTTGCCTTCGTGATGTCGGCACCACCGACTTTTCTCGGGCGCTTAAATCATCTTCGTTACCTACCTTCAATATAGGTTGCATGTTGAACGTTGCAAAGCGCGATATCCTACCTTGTGTTTTGCCTCCTATACTAGTTCGAATGCATCACCTCTCTCGTCCGCGGTAGCTATCTCGTGGTTGATTTTGCCTTTGTCGACTGTCTCCGAAACCGTCATTTCTATCGTAATTCGAACTAGAATGATGCTGGCGATAGTTGGAGCCATTACTGATGTCGTCCATATTATATCTGTGATTCAGTCTACGATGAAAGTTGGAACCTCTTGGCCGATCACCGCCGCCTTCTCTACCACCCCCACCGCGACCGCCCCTACCACGACCTCTGCCCTCACGGCGGCCCTGATGGGGATTCAGGTTTTCATACCGAGAAAGAATAAAGACAAGAGTCTCAGCGAAAGACAAGAAGAAGAAAAACGGCTGACACACGATTTAAACAAGCGAAATACTTCAAAAATGGTGTCATAGACCAATAGCCATATTAGTGTTGCTTTTTTACAAACATATTATTCGTAAGGTCATACCTATTCCTTCGTAAAGCCACATGCAACCACCTGCAATAGATCAAACAATAGAGCGTTGCAGAATGATTTTTTAGGCTTACCGGAGCGATGTGTGCGAAATTCTTTTGATCCGGCGGTTCTACTGGCGATAATAGAGGCGTGTCCACATAGTAAGGATCCGCATCCGAATACAAAGGCATCCCTTATAGATATGATGCAACAATAGTGTATATTGTAGTGGATATTGTGTGATAGAGCGATGTGGTCAATTATTATTTTGTCAGCCGGTCTCTGTTGATGTATTTATTTTATATAATATTTGAGCTCTACATATAATTTTTTTAATTATTAGAATTTTTCTTTTTTTGGTTTTTTGGTTTTTCCCCGCAGTGGTATAAGCTGTGATCGTTGGTGTGTGTGTCGTTTATTCTGTATACTCTGCTCTGGCCTCTGGGACCCGAGTAGCTTCAAAGTATGAAAATTTGAGTTTGAGAAGTTTGAGGACCAATGAAAGACAACATAATATAAAAATATTCTGATTGGATTGCGAACAAGCTTGGTGAGTTTTTGACACTTGACAGATGTCATTTTGTGTTTTGTTCTTGTACACAAAATGACAGAATACACAATAGCAATACAAAAATATGAATATAACTGCATCTATACTACATAGTACGTATTTGTACTAGCTAGACCTATTTAGTAGTTGAAGAGTAGTGAGAGAGTTTCAAGGGTAGTGAAGTAGAGCTTGTCGGGTCTATATCTACTATATGATGCGCCATTAAAAGAAAGGGATGTGAATCCAGGCGGTTCAATATCGAATGCTCGATCGGATGCTGGTGGTGGTGCACTTGGAAAGTGGGATGAGAATGAGGAATGGTTAAACCGATTAGAAACTTTACAATGTTGACTTACTTTTAACATGAAGAATTGAAACACACACACACACATACATACATACATACATACATACATACTCACATACACATACACACATACACACAC